ACAGTGGTGTCTCACTTTAATAGCACAAAAATATGGATTTGGGTTTACTTTTTTTAATCCTACAACTGGGGAGTATTTTTTTGCCAGAGAAAACCGGGATCCCTGGTGATGAGGGAAATGTGAGTGGATTCCTTGCCTGTTCCTGCAGGGAGACGGAGCAGCTTCATGGCCTACACCTAGAGCCAAGAGCTGAAGGGGATGATGCTTGGGTGAGCTGTGAAAGCAGCAGTCCTGACTGTGTAGCTGAAGCCTGTGTCTCTGCAACTGGCTGGGAACAAACACAAGAAGAACGTGGTCCTGTGCTCAGCTGGGCATTTGACAGCCGCTCGCTATGCACCTTGATTGGTCTCTGCCAGCCTTTCTACCAATGCTCCACTATGTTCCTGTGGCAGAAGATGGGGTAAGGCCCTTGAGCACGGCTTCCAAGCACCCAATAGGCTGGCTACACAAGGGGTATCAGCCAGAGATGGGATGCAGCCTCCTGAATGCAAGTGGGAGCCACCACTGCTTTTCAGTCTGCTCTAGCCATGGACCTGCTCTTGCCATCGTTTTGTACAGGCTCAAACAGCTCCTGAGTTACCAGATGTCAAACTCCATTGGGTGACGATGGTGTTCTGCCTCCACATCAGGTAGACCACTGCATTAGGATGTCACTAAACTTCAAGAGGGGGTGGCAGTGGTTATGCTTGGTCTGGCCAAGGTAATGGGCATGACTGCTGAGATGAGCTAAATGGGTGCCGGAAGCCAAATCGAAGGCTGAGTCCAGGGACAAGAATCAGAGACCAAATTAGCAGATCCACAGGGAATTCCAGGAGCAGAGTCTGAGTCACAGGCTAAGGCCAGGGTCAGGTGTCAGATGCCAGTGCAGTGGTGAGGGTCTGCCTGGCATCACAGTGAGTTAGAAACCAAGTTATTGGATCCAAGGGGCTTCCAAAAGCCAGAGTCTGGTAGGGTCAGGAGCCAGGAAACCAGAAAGCACAGATTGGAGAGGCATACCTCTCCCTTAGAGGCACTGCATGTTGGGTACAGCCAAGGATGCAGCTGTGACTGGGCTGTGCCCGTGTTCCTGCGGGGACCAATGCTGGATGTTCCTGGCTTGTGTGTCTTGCCCCTCAGCTCAGGGTCAGCCCAACGCCATTTTTTAGATCAGAAAGCAATTTTACCCTGTGGTCAAACTGGTCCAGACTCTGGGGGGGTTTGCCTTCCCGCAAAGCAGGGAGTGTGACCCTTTACCTGGGATCTCTCAAGCATATATTGATGTTTCATAGCAGCAGGACACTGGCTGCCATGGTGCTGCTTTCCCTGTGGCAGGGTTGGGTCTGTGCTGTGTCAGGGTTGACAGCTGTCTTATGTAGAGTTTAGATTTTGGTTTGTCTGGGCTGGTTTGGACAGGGCTGACCCTGCCTCAGGCAGGGGGCTGAACCGGAGGTGACTGCTGGATCTCCCTTCCAGCCCCACCGCTCTGACTCAGAGAGCTGGCCTGCCATCTGCCCTCGTGGGTCAAGTCCACAGGAGGCTGCTCTCCCCAGCAGCCAAATCAGTGACCAAGACAGTGGCCAGCTAGCTGGTCAGCTACCTGGGAAGACTGCCGGTCAGAGCCCCGGGGCAGGTCTGGCCAACGAGGCCATTAGCTGAGGCTGGGCTGCCTGTTAGGGTCCCTGATACCCTGCTCTGGCATGGAACAGGGAAGCTGGGGAAGAAGGAGCTATGTGCTGTCACAGCATAGATGGACTGAGACATCAAGTGTGATAGACGGGTTCTCCAGCTCTTCGTAGGGTTGCCTGCATTGTATCAGAGAGGCAGTCTGTGTTACCGCTCTGGGGCACAACCATTGTTTCCACGGCAGAGTGCAGGGGAAGTGTTTAGTGGAAACAGTTATTTTTCCTACCATGGAATCCCAGGGGGGGTAGGAGCCCAGCCAGCCAGCTGCCTGCAAGTGTTTGGCAGTAGGGAACTGTGCTGACCAACAACATGTTTGCCTGGCTAAGTCTTACCCAGCCTGCTCACAGCATGCACTAGTGGCATCCCAAAGCACTTGCAGATGTGCAGCCGGTGGCGTGCTTGTTGGAACAGGCCTCATGCCATCCATCAGGCCTGTTGCTGTGGCTCTCAGGGGAGGAGAGAGGAAGTGTGCACACGTTTGTCAAGCAGTGTTAGGAACTCACAAGCCTGAGCTCAGCAGCTGTGATGCCCATGCAGGGACAAGCCCAGGTGGTCGAGTGGAGGTGGATCTTAGTGTGAAATAGGCTGATGCTCCATCATGACTCTCAAGGCTCTCAGCTGTGGCCCGCCTGGAGGCACGTGGTTCTCTGAGCACGGGGATGTGTTTTACAGGATATAAAATTGTAATGGGAGATGTGTTAATTATCTCTACCTCTGAGTGAAGCCTTAAGGCAGCACTGCTGCTTCCTGTGTGGCAGCATGTGCTGAAGTGCCCCATGTGTCCGCATGGCTCCCCTGGCACTGGGGGGGTATGCTGCTGAGTAGGTGTCAGTCAACTTCCTCAGCCCCCCAATATAGCCACCCTTGCAGCCCACCTCTGCAACTGCTAGGGGGCTAGCACTAGCCTTCTAGCCATGGCGCTACCTGGATGGCTCTTTGGGGACTGGAGGGTGGCTGGGCTACCACTGTCTAGCTCAGCCCTGTATACGGCTGCCCGTCAGCCTGGCTTCTGCACCCCTCCCACAATGACCATCCATGATGAGGGCCCATCACGAGGGTCCCGTCCCTTTTCAGGGCACAGCAGTACTCCTGGGGCAGGTGGCTGTTGAGTTTCAATATCAAGTTGTACTTTCCTTTTCTATGGCTGGGGGCAGGGGGGAGAGGAGGCAGCGGCTGGTCCCAGCAAGTCTTTTTGTCACAATGCATTTTTTGCATACTTTTTGCATTTTCTGCTGACGGACAGACTGACAAGACACACGGTGAGAAGCGAGACAGAGGCAAGGGGGGACTTGCCAGGACTGTAGGCTGCTCAGTGGCAGAGCTGGGACCAGGCCCCCATTTCCCAGATGTCTGCAACTGATGTGACCCAGAAAAACTCCTGCATCAGCATCAGGGCTTGGAGGTTTCTTCTCCATTTTATTTCACTACCAGGGGGTGCAAGGCAAGGAGGAGGCTGCTTGCTCTGGTATGCAAGCTTTGCTTCTGCACCTGGGCTTGTCCAAAACTAGGGAAACCCCAGCATTGCTTTCTTCTCTGATCGTAGCTCCAGCTGCTCCCTGCCCACAAAACCACACAAGCTAGAAAACAGCATGCAGTCCATGCCTGGGTGAGATGGCAGCATCACTTCCCATGGGACATCACTGGATTTCCAAAACACTGAGAGTGCAGGCATGTACAACCTCCGTGCTCACTTAATCCCATCTTACATCTCCAAGGAGGAGGCCTGGCACTGCCCTCCATAATTCCTCTCCCTCTAGACCAGGTGAAACAGTCATATATATTTTAGCATCATATCCTTGAACCCCATCCCCAGCTGAAGTTGCAGCAACCAGCTGACTTCACCCTGTGTTCCAGGTGTTAGCTTGGTTGTTCCTAGGAGTCTGCAGCTGTCCCTGTACTCAGACCTGGAGGTTTTCCTCCCCATCACCCCCGTGAGGCCTTGTGCTCCAGCTACATTTGCTTGGCAGATCTCATTTCTCCCTTCCTGCTACAACAGCATCCCCCTTGCCCCTGAACTCAGGGAGTGTTGCAAAAGGGACTTGAAGTAGATGGATAGGGACAAGTAGGCTGCCAGAGGTGAGGTGAGTGGCAGTGTGGTCTCCCAACCTCTGGCTGTAGCACTGAGCCTTATCCAAGTTGCACACCTTTTCCTGGGATTCATACTTAACTACTTTCTAGGCATTTTCCTGAAGTAGCTTGCCCACCTCAATGACACCCAGTTCTTCTTGTCCCCTCCTCTGCCCTTCATCAACATGGGAAAGCCAGTTACCAGCATGGCACTCAGCCCCTGCCCCATGACAGCTCCCCCTGGCCTGTGTGGGCAGATGCCCTGCCCCTCAAGCAAAGGGCGCAATCACCATTTCCCAATGACACAGATTTCGGTTCAGCAGGTTTTATCTCTAGGAGACACAAGCAGTGCCACTGACAATACAAGACACAGATTTCACAGAGCACTTGGACACGGCCCAACCAGCTAGGGTTTTGCTGAGACATAGGGGTTGCCAGCTTGCAGACACGGCAGCAGTGACAAGAGCGGTCACACCACTTTGGTGGCTCAGGAGAAACAACATCTACAAGTGGCTGGATAGAGCCAGGCCCCTCGGTTTGTGAAAAGGGCCAAAACAAGAGGCTACCTCAAGCATGCAGGCAGCAAGGGAAGCCAAGTGCATCTCCCAAGGGCTTCCCAGATGCTGTTCTAGCAGGCAGTACTCATTGTCCCAGCATCCTGGGTGATGTTGTTTAGCAGTGTCCCAGCAGAAGAGGGGCTGCGAGGCAACATGCAGGTGACACGTGCATGCCACATTGGAAAGAACAGAAGGAAACTTTATTGAGTGATCAAGTGGTGGCAGTAGCGAGCCCCTGGGAAATGTCTCTACCAGCACCCTGTCCTCAACTCTGTATCTTTCTATGCTTCCCTTCAAGTTCACTGGAGGAAAAGGAACTAAAATCAGGACATCTGTTCCCATAACTGTGTTGCTAGATACTGAATCCAGGCACTGAAATCATTAAATAGGAAGAATAAAAATGACAGGGTGCGAGACAGAGGCTCTGCCCTACCCAGATGGGACCAAGAGAACCATTCCCCAACCTCCCCACAACTTGGATGGGACCTGCGATTTTGGAAGTGGAGCTGGAGACACCCAGAAAGGGCCTGCTTTGCAACAGAACAGAATCAGGCCCTCCCAAAGCACCTTCAGCCAGGCCCCATATCACAAGTCATTGAAAACACAGGGCTTGGCTGGCAGGCAGCTATCCCTTGAGCCCAAGCTCCCAGCAGCTGCTGGGGGAAGGGGCAAGTCATGGAGCCATCCCACAGGCAGCATGAGCAAGAGAGGAATGTCAGCTCCTCTTGGAGGATGGCTGAAATTTCCCTGGACCCAGGAAGTCTGTCACTGCCACCACTGGCTCACGGTGGCACTGGGTTTGGCTTGAGCATCCAGAAGCCCCCACTTGTGGTACCCAGGGGCTGGCATTCAGCTAGCACTGCACTCAAAGGCATTGGAGGGGCTAGGGGAAGGGGGCACTACGCAGCTCTCGTGGCTGGGTGGGCAGCTCTAGAACCCCTTCTCGATGCTGAGGGTGCGCCGGGTGACATGCTCCATCTTCCCTGAGATATACTCGGTCAGGCTGATCTGGTAGTTGGCCAGCATCTTCAGCATCAGGCGCAGGTTCAGCCACCACTGCTCCTGTGGCAGCCGGTGCCTGCGAAAGACAGCATGTCACACATCGGGCCTGGCCAGCCTGCCTCACAGCAGCCATCAACTGAGCCCAGACAAACTCATGATGCCTACTTGGCTTCACAGTGAACTGAAACTGCCAGACCTGGGAACACCCCCATGATCAGCTAAAATACATGAGAACTCCGGGGGAAAGGTAAGTTTTCAGAAGCCACCAGGGGAGCTGAGCTTCAACAGGATTGGAAGCAGATCATGCCCTCACTCTCACCTGTGGGCACAGCTCTGTAGTGCAGCAAGGCTGGACTAGACATTAGGGTGGCAGTAACTGCATGCTTAGGTCTATGACCACCTGTGGGCTCATGCCCTCACCCATGACTCCACCAAGAGACCAGCGCTGCCAGCTTATCTCCAGCTCCTTCCAAGAGCACTGCCTGGGACTCAGGCCTGAAAGACACCTCATGGATGGCTGGGCAGGAGGGGATGGGCCTGACAGATGCACCCCCTGCACCCCAGGCTAGTACTCACTCAAAGTCAGTGACCTTCTTGAGCTCCGTTACAGGGCTGAAGGCCACTGCCTTCTTCCTGAGCCCAATCACGCAGGCGGTGTCCCCGGCGTTGGCAAATACGCGTCCTGTGGGGGCACAGGCTAGATGTTACTAACTGCAGTTGTCAGGTGGCATCTGCCCCCAGTGTGGAGGGCCAACTCACCCTGCACTGGCAAGGGGCTTCCTGCCCCTGGGGGCACAGGAGAAAGCCCATTTCACCACCACCCCTGGGCCAAGCCACTACAATGTACTGTGAGAAAAGCAGGCTGCCAGCTGGAGCCTACAGAAATCATGTGAACCCTCTGGGAGAGGGGCATGAACTTGAAGTCACCTTGCAGTCCTGCTCTGTTTGAGAGGAACTAGCAGGGGCCTTGCCAGCTGTGCCGTGGCCTGCCCTAGTTATCAGGTAGTCCAGGTCAGTTGTGGCGAAGATGCCTGTAAGCCTGGGTCCTGGGGTCAAAAGCCACAGGCTATCACAAAGTCCAGCCAGATAGACTCAAGGGGACAAGAGACATGAAAGACCCTGCACAGGCCATTTCCACAGGTCAAGGTTGGGCAGATGAGGAAAGCTCCAGTGACATGGCCTACACTGAGCCCAATACACAACTCATCCAGGCTGCAAGGCCATCCCCTCCTGTCCCATCCAGTCTAAAGCTGACCCCTGGCACTAGGGAGATGAGCATCTGCCTACAGTTAATGCCCAGGTAGCCAGAGCTCAGGCTCAGTGAGGTCTGCTCTGACCCCCAGCACCAGGGCCTACAGCTCCTGCCCCATTCCACACAGCAGCTGCACTCCCATTCCCCAGAGGCTCAGTGCTGCTGTGCAAGCCAGGAACACTCTGGCCTACCCTTGCGATAGACTTCTTGCAGCTTTTCTGACATCCACAGCACTGCCTTCACCCCCAGCTTGGTGCTGTAGTTCCGGTCAAAAGGGGTGGGGGCACCTCCCTGCAAAACGAAACCATAACTGAGGGATGCAGAATTAGCACCAGGCCCAACTCAGAGACCGTGGGTGTTGGGTTTGTGAGGCAGAGGTACCCCATCCACTCCAGGCTGTGAAGCGCAGGCAGCAGGCTGTGCCCTCGACCTGGTTGTTTTTCCACCCAACTGGACAGTGGGAGCTGCTTGCTCCCAGGGTGGGAGCTGCCTGAGAGAAACCTCCAGCAAGGCTGTGCAGGGAAAGACAATGCCTCTGCACTGCTACAGGGGTAGGAAGGCTGGGAAAGGAGAGAAGCAGCTCCTTGGCCTCTCCCCCTACCCCAAGCTCTCATCCATCTCCCACCTTGTGCCCATCTGAACAGAGCTCTCCCAGCACCACTGCCACCCCATATACCTGCTGCAGGTGCCCGAGGACATTGATCCTGCAGTCGAAGATCCCTTTGCCTTCGGAAGAGTACAGGTTGTAGAGAAACTCAGTAGTGTAGTGCTCGTGGCACTTCTCGTTGCTGGGGGGAGAGGGAGGAGGAAAGGGAGAGTCCATTAGAGGGGTTTTGGGTGGATGGCTCAGCCTGCTGTGCAGTGGGGAGTGGTTGTGGGGCAAAACATCCTCCACCAGGCTAACTATGGCAATAAGGAAAGAGCAGGGAGCTGAGGCAGCTGTTGTCTCTCCAGCCACATAGTGGGGACACAGGTACCTCTCTGATCTCTGCCATGGCAACCTGTGTAGCTACCCCACTTTCGCGGTCACCCACATGACACTGCACTGGCAGCTCCTCTTTCCCCTGGATTTCTGCTTGTCACATTTTCTCCTTAAATGCATTGGTTTGTACTTTCCCAACCTGAACCTCAGTTTACTACAGTGTTTGCTGCTCACAGCTCTAACCTCTTTGGCCTCCAGGAGTTCAACTTTGCTTACACCTGCCAGGCTGGGAAATAAAATACGGATTTAAAGCTCAAATCAAGAGTTCCCAGTTAGCCCCTAGGGCAGCTGAAAGCAACCCCCTCAGAAGAGCAGGTCCTGCACAGAGGGTGCTTGGGGTGTCACTAGCTCCACAAGGCAAACAGCCAGCAACCTGGGCCTCAGAACTGTTTCACTGGCACTCTTTGCAGTTCAGTCCAAACTGCGGTAAGAACTGGTTTTTGAGCCACTGCTTAGAGCTTGAACCTACATGTCTTTCTGTGACCATTTTGAGTGCAACAGCAGGCTGCAAGTGAAGGATGAGGACTCCATTCTGCAGCTGGCCCTGGGTGAGTCTCCCTTCCCAATGGACTGGGCTAGGTGCTAGTTCCCCTGGGTTGCTTTGCTAGTGACTGAGGCTATTAACTGTTTGAGGTTCACTTAATGCTTAGTGATTGAGGTTTGTTCTAAGTTGTGCGTTTATCCCTTTCCCCCCTTGTAATAATCCCTGTTTTACTTGAATGCTGCTTGCAAGTGGGGAGGTTTGTTCATGTTAGAACAGGGGTGGGCAAAATGTGGCCTAGGGCCCGGATGTGGCCCGCCAGGCCGTTCTATGCAGCCCATGAGGCCCCTAAAAAATTTAGGAAGTGAATATTTATCTGCCCTGGAATGCCTGTCATGCAGCCCTTGATGGCTTGCCAAAACTCAGTACGCGGCCCTTTGCCCAAAACAGTTGCCCACCCCTGTGTTAGAACATGCAGTTAAAATTCATTTTCTCAGTTGTGTGGGGGCTCAAGCCAGATTTACAAAGGTGATGTTAAACCTTTAACTTTGTTTCTGCTGTCCAAGGCCTGGCAGAAGTGCTAAGTTTACATGACATAAAACATGTCAGTAAAAAAGTCTGGTTGTCAGTAAAAAGTCTGTAGCTTGTCAGTAGAAAATAAATGTTCTTGGGTCAGCAACTCTGTCATGGATGCAGGTAGGTTTGCTGCCCCAGTTCATGCAGTCTGGTTGTGTTTTGTGTTGTGGGTTAAGACCTTAGTTCTGTTTCATGGCCCTCTGACCTCCAGACACTGGGGCAGACAAAAGGCCCCCCAGGCTGACTCACCGGAGTACCAGGCCTCTCTGAATATCAGTCTTCATTTTGTCAGTCAAGTGTTCAACATTGGCCTAGAAGACAGACATGGGTGGGCTTGTAACTGCACTCTGCACTGTCCCCCCACCCACCCATGCACATGAGTGCTCACTCTTGCTTACCCTCCCGTCCACACTGGCTCCACTCCACCAGGAGAGCAACCTGCTCAGCACAAACCATGCTCTACCTTCATCCTATGAGCAGAACCCACCCCTTCTCCCATCAGGGCCTGGCAACCAATAGCTACTATATGCTGTCAGGGAGGGGAGGCTGCGCAGTCCAGGCATAACCACAGGCCTCTGAGGGTGCATCTTTGTGAACACGTGGCCAGCATAGGACCAGGACCAGGGCAGCACAAAAGTGACCAGGTGGAAGATATTGGACATTTCCCCCCTTCCCCATTGCCCATCTCCTTAGGCTCTTCCCTGGTGGGAATATAATTCTAGTTTGGCTGAGGTATCATTTCCTCAGCTTCTCAGACGACTTCTGCTGCTTTTAAGTCCCTTTGCCCACTCCAGAAAAGGGACCCAGAGCTTAAATGTACTGCAGTCAGAGAGACATGATCCTCATGGTAGCAGGCATGATAGCAGCCTGTTCAAGCAACAGCCCAATCTGCTGCTGTTTTCTGCTCCCTGCCCTGCACTCCCTGCCCAATCTGTTGCTCTACTTTCTGCTCCCTGCCCTACCTACTGCTATGGTGCCTGTTCCCTCCCTCATCTGCTGTGTGCCACACAGGTGTTGCCTGTGCCACTTATGGCATGTGTGTTGAAGGTTGGCCACCCCTGTGCTACAGGAGAGGCCTCAGGCAATAAGTGAATGCCAAAGCAAAACCATCTCCCTAGTCACCTTACACATATATGGAGTTAATACCACACAGAGACAAACAGTTCCCCAACCTCAGCCCAGGCCTGTGGCACATCCGAGGACCACTCCTTCCCCTCACCTTTAGGTCATGAATGGTGAAGGGCTCCTCATATACGTAGGCAGCATCCGCTCCCACGGCAATGCCAGTCACAGTAGACAGGTACCCGCAGTAACCTCCCATGGTCTCCACGATGAACACACGGCGCTTTGTACCAGAGGCAGATTGCTTGATGCGGTCACAGCTCTGCACAAACAAGAGGAGGGAAGAGGGTTGTGTTCACACTGAGGTCTGAACCGCGTGAGGTGCTGGCATCCTGGCTTGAGAGAGAAGCACTAAGAGGCACCTAGTGAGAAGCAACCCTCACGTAGACCTGGGTTTACCTGCATGGGCGGATCTACAATTTTGAAAAGGTGAGGTGGGGGAAATGCACATGGTGAAGTGCATCATCACATAAAACATATTTTTTCCAGTTAAAAAGAAACTAGAAGCTGCACTAATACACCATGGTCCTAGGGCTGGATTAAAGCAAAACCAAAAATAACTTAATTGGAATAAGTTAAAAACAAGCTGCAGACCTATGAAATATGAGCTTCATCACCAGAAACAGGGAACAGATAGCAACACTGCAGAACAAAACTTGACTGGTGGGTACAAGACCATTAAAGGTAAGAGAGGGTTGCTAACACCTGTGGAATGAAGAGTTTAGAAGGGATCAGGGAGGTGATAGTGAACCATGAAGTCCAATGACTCCTTCAGCACTGCCTGACCAGAACTGCAAGGCAGCTGGTTTTAAGCTTTGTGGGGAGCAGGAATCAAAGGAGGGTGCAAGTGCACCCCTTCTGGATCTACCCGTTTACTTGCATCCCAAGCAGCCCGAGTCCTGGTTACAGGACACTTAACTGGACTCCCAGAACTCATACTGGGAACGAAAATGCAGAATTCATGATGAGAAAATTAAGCCCCAAGCCAAGCCTCTCCTACTGGGCATGGGTGTTCTGCCAAGCATTGCTTTTCAGCTGACTGATAACGTGCAAGCCCTCACAGCCATCTCCCCTACCACCCTCAGGCACGTGAGGCTCTGCAGTCAGCGGGCTCCAATAAACCTCATGCCAAGCCTCTATCCAGACATTCTGTTGGGGCACTGATACCACTGCACAGAGGCAGGGCCTGGCAGACCATGATCTCTGGTCTTGCAGTGCTGGTGAGGGAGGATGGCTGCTGCCTCTGGGTGCTGGAGGTTGTAGACTTTAGCCTGCCACTGGTATAAGCACTGCAAGATGGCTGGGGCTCTTCCCTATAACCTGGCGTGAGTCAGTGGCTCCACAGACAGTGCTTGGAGCATGAGTGAGCTGAGGCTGCCCAAGGAAATGGCACTGTGTTGACCAAGTAAATGGCTGCAAAGTCAGAGTGCACAACCTGGGACAGCCCAGGGAACATGCACTAGAAGCGCAGATAGGTGGGGTGCACAGGGGAAAGGTGCCTCTTCATGACCCTGCCTTTCATATTTTTTTTTTTGCACTGACACCCTTTTGTTGCATTGTGTGGCAAGCTGAACATGACGGGAGATGACAAAAGCCACAGGACACTGGGGAGGTGAGAGAAGAAGCACTTGAGGATTGTGGGATAAGCACATGACAGTGATGTAGTAAAAGAGCTCACAACATGGATACTTAAATAGTCATTGTTATGTTCCAGAGTGAATACCTGACAACAAACAGCATAGTTCTCACCTTGTGGGGCTGTTGGACTGCACCTTTGCAGTTGTATGTAGGGGCTTAGACCAATGCTTTAGGTCTCTAGGTAGGGATGTTTAGACTTTGATTCCACTGCGGATGGAAACTTTCGAGTTGGAGTCAAGTCCTATGGCAAAGGACCGGGCCTTAGTGCAGGTGCTCTAAGACTGAACTGTATGTGGAGCCCTGATGATCAAATTCCATAACATGCGGGCTGAACCCCAGGCTGGGTGTCTGCATCATGGCCCAGTGCTATCTTTGGGCAGCAGGCAGGTTGTTGGATACAGATTTCCAAGGCTCCTTCTCCGAGTTTGGAACTGGCCAGGCTGCAAGAGGGGCTTGTAGGATGCCTGCAACACAGGGTTTCCTGCAGCAGGTGGACCCACGGCTGGGAAGATGGATGAGGGGTGGCTGAAACATCCTAGAGTCAGGATATGCCTGCATTGCCTCTCAAAGCTCTCAAAAAAAAATCAATCCCCCCCTGCCTTGTCTGGTCTGGCTACAAACACTCCAAACCCAGAACTGAGGGATGTGATATTCCAGGCAGGGACACAAGGATCAGACTGTCTGCACTCATTCTCAGTCCCCAGGAGAGGAAGGTCTGGTGCCAAGACCCTGCATTGCTTCAGCTGACAGTGGGCTGCCAAGAGAAACATCAGAAATGTGCTGAGAGACTGACAGCAACTCACAGCCTGGTTGGAGAGCACGTGGGTGCTTCTAGTAAAGCACTTCACTCCCTCCATCTGAATGGAAGCTGGCAGGGCCACGACATCACTGGAGCAGGACGTTCAGGGCAGCAGACCCTGCAGTTAAACGTCAGACCAGCATCAGCTCCCTAGTCGGCCCAAGAACACACCACACTAGTCTGCAGGCAGTAGGGAAGAAAGATCATGCCCACTTTCAGGGACTTTGGGTTTCAACTGAGGGGATGGTTGCTCATCTCTAGCTGGTGCCTCTACATGCTGCTAGTGCTTCAAGAGTTCCCAGGTGCAGAAAGATTTATCTAGAGGGGATGTTTAGCCGTGTTTGAATGATTATGCGATGTACTGACAGCAGAATCCGTCTAAGCCATGACCTACCTGGCTAGTGCCAGGAGAAGCAGTGGGCTGGTGGGAGAGTTGGGTTCCATTACTGAACAGAACAGAGTGCTGGATGTGTCCCAGGCACAATCCAGGAGCTCATGCCAGTCCAATACCAAGTGCAGTGGGCCCTGAGTCACCAGCAGACACCAGATGAATACATCCACAGCACTGCCATTCATGTTTGTACTAACAATGAGCCTACATGCTGCACACAGACAAGAAAGACAGGGGAGCAGCTGTTCCACCCTTCAGAGGAGGAAAAATAGACATCTCTCTGTGCCTGGCAGGTCTGCAGTCCAGGAGGGCAGGGTGCTGGGAGGGCAAGCTGCTGTAAGGGCAGGCTGCAGCTCACCTCCTTGCAAACTGCTGTATATGCTCCCCAAGAAAGGCCACTGGCCAGCCTAGCACCCTCCTGTGCTAGGAGATAGGCTTCACCATAAAGCTCCTCTGTAGAGGAGTGGAAAGCAAATGGCAACACCCTTGACTCAGTGTGCTGGCAAGGGTTGCACAGTGCCAAGCACAGCCCCCACCCTAACTACAAAACCAACTGCAGGGGTGTGCCATCCACAGGACCTACAGGTCCAGGTTGGCTTCAGGCTGAGATCAGCCTGACATGGTCCCTGCAATGACCAAGCTGCTACGTGGGTCTGAGCTTCCTTCATCCCTTCCCAAGCCATGGCTCTGACTTGCAAAGCAACAGAGAATGAGGCAATGGGGAATTCAGGCCAAAGCTTCCTGTCAGAGTCTCTCCTCACAGACTGCTCATCCCAGCCTGCTGGTCAGCTCCAGAGGGCTATACCCATCTCCCTCAGTGAGGGGCTCATCCCTCCCTTGCCTCGTCTGCTTACAGGGTCTTTGCTACAATAAGGTTTTACTGCCAAGATAAAACGTCTATTAAGGAACGAACCTCAGGCCCCAATCAGAGACTGGCTCTGCCGCTATCACTGCGCTATGTTTCAGCCAGGCTCCTACCTCCAATGTGTACCCAGTGCAATGACCACACAGGATACAGGGGAGAGGGAACATACTTCACTGCAGCAATGGGCTCCCTGCCTGCCCTGGCAGAGGCAACTTGCTCTCCCTCTGCCCCTTGCCCCCGAGGCTCAACTCACCTCCATAGCAGCATTAACGGCCGTATCAGAGCCCAGGCTGAAGTCAGTCCCAGGCACGTTGTTACTGATGGTGGCTGGGATGACACACATGACGATGCAGAGCTCCTCATACTGCCCCCGTGCCTCCACCAGCTGCAGCACCCCCTCGTAGGCCTGCAAGAGGCAATGGGCTTAGAGAAGGAAAAATTGTCAGGATGATGAAGATGCTTTCCCTTCTTCCACCAGCTACAGGGGTACAGACAGACCAGTTCTCCCCGCATGGGGCAGCTGCCTTGGGGCTTCTCATGTTTACAAAAGGAGCCAGGGTTTGGCAGAGACCAAAATCTCTTATTCACCCCTCAAAGCAGCCCCCAGTGACAAAGAGCAATCACAGGAGTCCCTCAACAGCATGGAAGAGGGGGAGAGGTAAGAGATTAGTTGCCGGTCTTCCTCTTAACCTGCCACCTGCCTGGCCCTCAGAGCCATCACTGGTGGCACACAGCCAGCGTGCCCATTAGTGACTGGACTAAGACTACTGAGCCCACTGCAGGCAAACTTACAGCTCTTTGTAAGGAAACTCATCCATTCACTCACGCTAAGAAATTCTCCTGACATCTCTGCTGGTTACTGTTTAATTAAAGCACACATGCCAGCCCTAGGCAGGGTTTTACTTAAAAAGGGATGGCAGCCGCCTGGCATTGTCAGAGGGGTCATTAATCAGCAGGGAACATTCACACTGTGCTGGGAGCAGCCAGCACAGGTCTCACACAGGGAGGAAGCTGCTGCCCTCAGACAACAGAGGCTCTATTGTGTGCTCAGACGTCTACACAGTGGCCAGCAGAGCAGGCGCTGCTTCTGGGCTGGCATTCTCCCACCAGCTCGCAGAGGCACAGCAGACCATTAAAAGAAAAAGGACAGATGCCTTTACTGCACCTCGAATCCTCCAATGACCAAAAGGCTCTGGATGTTAAACTTCCGCACAGTTTCCACAATCTTCTCCATGCATGTCTTTGGAAGAGTTCTGCAAAAGAAAATGACAAACAGGCTGAGTGCAGACCATCCACATGAAGCCCTGAGATCCACACATACATAGATTTACATCCTCCAGCTATACCATCCATGCAGCAAGCAATGTGGAAAGATTCCATTGGGGCACAGGAAAGTCCCCTAGAAACCTTTACTGGATGGGACAGAAAGAAAACTCCCTCCCTGTAACTTATGAGCTAGAGCTTTCCACCAAGGGCAGGAGACAGAATGGTGAGGACAGTGGAAGTGGTCTCAGAAATACACTCCCATGCAACTAACAAGCTAGATGCAGGAGTGGCTGGGCCCCTTCTGATGCAGAGGGTCATACCAGAGCATGGGTGGGCAAAACGGCAGATCCAGCCCATGGCTGGATTCCATTTTCCAGCAGCCCTGTTGGCAGTGACTCCTTTTGGCTGCTGCTGTCTGACCCAGCCCCACTGCTTGGGCACCCCGGCCTGTTCAATCTGCACCCGCCACCAGGGGCAGGACCTGGGTAGGCAGGGTATGCAGCAAGGTGGCTGGGATGGGGCCGCATCTGGGAGCAAGACAGGCAGGTGAGATTGGGGAGGTGGTGGGATTCGGAGCAGTGACAGCACAGGGCCAGGGCAGAGCTATGTTGCGTTCCCTGCATGCCCCTACCTGCACAATGGGCTCTGCCCCAGCCCTGGCCCCATGCTGTCCCAGCCCCATGGTCCTGGGGTCTCCATGGAGACTGGCCAGGAGCCATGTGGCTGGGCTGGGAGCTATATCCAGGGCTGGGACCAGGATCTTGGGGCAGCGACAGTGTGGGGCTACGGCCGCAGCAGAGCTGCAATCTGCTTGCTGCATGATCCTGCCCACAGAACTTGTGCTTGTCGCGTGGGAAAGCAGGCAGTGGATTGCAGCTTTGCCCTGGCCCTGCCAGCCTGTCTTGCTCCTGGCTGTGGCCCCCTCCCAACCACCCGGCCAAGCACCCTGCCTGCATGAGTCCCACCCATGATACTGGGCATGGGGTGGATGGGCCAAGGTGCCCGAGCAGCGAGGCTGGGCCCAGAGAAGATACAGGGATGACGGAAAACAACCATGCAGCAAGAAGGTCTTGGAGACTCCATGGAGGAAGCTCTGCAGAGCTGCTGTGGTCAGAGCAGACTGATATGGTACAGCTTGGTCAGGAAGATGCGACCTGTTGAGGTTCTGCTCCCAGTTGGCTCAGACATGTATAAATCCCTATTTACAACCCCACTGGCTTCAGAGGTACATCTCAGAGCACAGGCAGCTCCTTGCTGCCAAGAACCCAAGAGGCCATCTATGGTGGGGTGAATGTTTCTCTCCTTCAGTTGGGGGAAGTTTCCTCTACTCAAGGGTCTTTGCTCCCGACAGCAGTCATCAGTTCCAAATAAACCCTGAGCCAAGTCCCCCTGGCAGCTGTGCTGTAACCACAGCAATGAACTGGCCAAGGGACCCACAGCTCTCTGCAGCAGGCCATTCTGCTGTGCTTCCACAAAGCTAGAGAGCACTTGCCATCTATGGCACCTCTAGATTCTGGGTCCCAAGCTGCTGGGATGCAGCCATTTCAGTTTGCTGCCTTCTGAGGCCAGTGACTTGAGATGAGAAGCTATGGCAGGGCATGCCCCCCAGCACGCCTTGCTGCATGGGGGCACGAGGCCAGTTCGGTCTGTCAGCAGATCACAGATGTTTCAGGGGTGTTGGCTGCAGCTGTGTCGGTCTAAGGACATAGGCAGACAAGGTTCTTTGGGTAGATGTGATATCTTTTATTACAATGACTCAATAGTTGTAAAAATTGTCCTTTGCAATTTTTGGGCACATCTACCCAAAGAACCTTCTCTGCCAACAGATAACAGAGACACTTCAGTCCTGGCCTTCGTCATCTCCAGTTCTGTCCTGCCCCATCTCAGGTGTCCAGTGAAGCCAATGAGGCATGGAGTGGCTCTCCCACCACTGCCCTCTCCCTTCCATGTACGGCGTGGGGCCAAAGCCCGCAAGGGTTCACCTGCCCAGCTCACCCGTAGCACTCACCGCTTGGTTCCCAGCATGGAGCCGCCACGTCCCAGCCAGCCCGCCACGTCGTGCCAGCCCACCTCGTGGATCTGCAAGAGCCAACACCTTGTTTCAGTACTGGCAATAGTCCCCCATCCCGGCCGTGCTGCCAAAAGCCCCAAGATATCTACTCAGCAAACCTGGGTGCTGACAAGATGGCAGGCTCCAGGACAGTGATCATCGCCTGCTGGAATTCACCATCCAGCGCAAGGTGGCAAAGGCATGTAGTAAGGCAGCGGCCCTGGATTTTAGGAGGGCAAATTTCAACGAGCTAAGGAGGATAGTTAGGGAAGCGCTGAGGTCCCGGAGGGGAGGGGAGACAGGTGTCCAAGGAGAGTGGTTGCTCCTCAAGGAGATGATCCTCCAAGCTCAAAGGAAGGC